AATGACTCTCATAGGCTGTAACACAAGTAGGTCAAGTTGAGAAAAATTTCTTTGCATGAGAACAGCGTTGGTCATCAAGATGCTGACATATTGATTGGCTTGAAGTACTGCATTGATCAGCGGCATCGTATAGAGGAATTTGGCTTGTGTCGAATTGAGAAATGTATCAATTAGTGCATTCATTTGAGAATCGAACAATGCAGCGGTTAGAACCTGAGCATTGATAAACATCATCGAAGAAAAATAACGGATTACGACGATAAAAGTAAGATTGGCTATCTCACAAAACGTGATCAATGTCTGAAAGTGAGATAAAGCAGAATATAGTAGATCAGACGCCATTTCGCCATTGTCATAAGGAAGAAGACTTTCATGCCACCATGCCTGGACAAAGTCGCTTCCACACAATTGATGATATGCCGGCGTCACTTCAATCAATTCTTCGTACGGAATTGAAACGACACGACATGGACATTGTAATGCGTGCGGATATCGGTCTTGTAATATTTTATATAGCTCTTGTGATGGTGATTGAATAGTTTTACTTATTGTTGGTATCGATATCGGCGTGTAAACGATCAGAATACTAATTGCACTGATTAAGAGTAATGCATACAGTCGAGTTGCAATGCGATAACGACGAATACGGAATGAGTCTCGCGAATGAACATTGAACAAGTTGAGCTCTATGATGGATTTTTTCACTGTCAAAAGGCCATTTCTCACACGAATTGCGATCGGAATAGCTATAAAACCATCAAAGAAGTCATTACAATAGATAGATACAATCATCAAATCTTACTCTCATTCGGTTGGGATCCGACTTGTACAGATCGTCGTTTCTTCAAAAACAAGATGAGATCGATTATATATGAAGTAATGGAACGTAATACTATATTGAGTCCTCCGACAAGTGCTATGAGGATCGTGGCAACATAGATCCAGTCAAATCGACGTGTATACGTGTAACTATAATAGACTGGTGCACCTATGTCGTAATAAGACGCGTAAATTGTTTTATTGATAATCTCTTCGATGAAAAGTTCATTGATGAGTTCTTCAACAATCGTTGTTGCCATGTAATGACTTGCTATAGAATTATCTAGAATTGAAACATTGATTGTGTTTGGACAAGCCGAAGGAAGAATCTCTAGATACGATTTATTGTAGAAACAATCGAAGGACGAAGCGAGTGTCATTGTTAAAGATAAGCAGTCAATTACGAAGCCTGGTAACGTTTCATTGGTGATAATCTTACTGAGATTGTAGGTTCCGTATGTTTTCTAGGCTAGATACAAATACAGACTACCAAGGATCGGACATAATCAATTATTTTGGCATGAACAACTTTTTGTTGTTCCTTGTGGAATTTAATCGGTAACCGTCGTCCATGCATCCCTTGTTTCTCCAGAGAGGTTTATTCCTGGCCGAATAGCAACAGCGTTCATTAACAAGCCTGTATTGAATCCGTTCGCTTGTATAATCTGACGAATTGCAGTAAATGGTCGTACAAGGGTACTCGATGCAGTTCGACGGACTACATCAAGAGCAGCTTTGCTCTGCTTTTAAAGTAGTTCATCGAATAATAATATCGAATTGATCAATGTTGAATTGGTGAACTGATTGATTGCATCGATAAGACTATTCTTCGCACTTTGGCATAGAGCAGCAGTCAATTACCACATTGTACTCAAGCTTGTTCATATGTTCATCGGCCATATGAACGTTATGTTCGTTCCGAATGCAAAATTAATCCATAACTGAGAGACAAAGTAGCTCGAGCAGATTTGATGAAATACTAGGACAACGTTGACAAATGTTCGATAGGATATCGAAATGTGCGCATATAGACATTGAAGAGTGGTCAAGTAGCTCTTCAGAAGTCTGTCTTACACATCCTGTGTCAGCCATTTCATGGTTTGACTCTTCGTCTGTACACTGAAAGACGTGTAAAAGTCAGAATGAAAATGGAGAAGATCAGTAAGATAAGTAATAGACGAGTAGATAGAAGCTCCTGACGAACTTTCATTGGATCTGATGATTGTGAGTCGAAAAGATTCAACATGACGAATTTTTCACTCACGCTATTATACAATGATTGCAATGGACGTACTCTAGATATTACGACATGCTTGATAATACAATTCTGACCGAGATCATCGTTTTATTTTCTTCGAATGTGTCTTTCCTTGCAGAAACTCACACAATGAGCGTACTAACAATAACAATTCTTTCCTTAATAAGATTCTGACAGCACAAAAAAGAAATAGAACTGTTTTTCCATTACTATCTACATGGTTGATTCCAGTTTGTCGACCTGAATAATATGGTTATGTCAGTATTTGAATTACTTTCCTTCATTTCACATAATCAAAAATGGTTTAATATTAGGGATTACAGTTTATTGAGCTGTATCCCTTCTGAAATTTTCTTTAAAAAAAAAACCTTGATTTTATCTTAATTTTCTCACATTCCAGGATTCTTGCTGAGTATTGTATCCATTTTTCTGAACCAAATAGGCTTTTCGAAAGTCTGAAACTACTTCAGAAAAGAACTCATTTCTGGAATGACGCTTTACTACTTTCCCAATACACTTATAAAAAAACAATTAAGTTGATGAATTGTTTGAATTGTAGCGTGACAAATAAGTAGAGAAAGAGAAATGTTCCTAGTTTGACAAATGGCTATTACAAATGTGAAACAAAGAGACCTGCTAAAAAGGAAGTATGCTGTAATGAAGCAGCTCTACTCAAATGCCCTGAAAGAACACAAAAAACTCATAGGATCCAAGTCATTTTTTCTCTAAAAAGTGAATACAGTAGAATTCTTTGGCTTATAGGATACGAGAATGAAAGAGGATACGGGTGTGGGTTAAGAGATAGTTGACACTCATACCCACACCCTATCAAGTGTCTCTCAGCCCACACTCACATCCAGTACACTAACATCCATACCCCGCCCACACAGCCACATCTACACCTACCACAGTCACACACGCATACCCACAGCACCCACACTTGCTCAACCGTACCCCACCCACATCCACACCCTTATATGACATCTGCCGTGCTTTTCATAGACTCTCAGTCGACTGATCTCGATTTTTATTTGAAAACACACAGACCGGACTCAAACTTTACAGACGTCATTTCTGCGCTTAAATGTAAATTCTCTTTTAACTAGAAATTTTTTTTTTCGTTCTCTCACACCCCTTTCCATGACAAACACAGAAGAACAACCGTTCTATAGACATCACGGCAATTCAGTGAAAATAAAGGGGTCGAAATTATGTGTTTCTTTTTTTTTCTTGTTTTCTGCGACTCTGAAGAGAAGCAAATGGATCAAAGTTCAACAAACAAAAGTCATGTAAAAGTGAGAGAAATAAATACAACTAGATTAAACATTACTCTTTGATATAAAAAAGTATATGAAAAACTATAATTGAAGTCAATAAGGGAGTCGATGCGTTTTTAGTTTTTGACCGATAAAATATTACTCAATTTATTTGACTCGAGCTAAGCAGTACAACTAAGTAAGCAATAGTGACTAAAAGCAGTTTCGATTTGAATACTACCAGTTACAGTCGAGACAATGAGCAATGAAATGAAAACGATTATCGTAAAGACTACCATTCTTTTGCAAATTGAGAAAAGCTCATATTAAAATATAGAATATACACTCTGATAAACATAGTTTTCTTCAACAAACTCTTCATCCTTGGCGAAATCTTTTGCGTGACCTTCATTGATTTATTTTCATATGTATCGATTGAATTTCGTTTAATGAAATATATTTAAATAGATTAATAATGAATAATACGAATTCATTGATCATGCTTTTTTTGAATTTATTTCTCTTGTGCGCTGTAGTGTTAAAGAAAAACAAAGTTAAACATAGAAAAATTGTTGTATATTTTTTACTTATATTTGCGTTGATAATGAACTGAATATCAGTTCGAAATATTCACAAGTTTTATTAAATAAATTCAAAAAATAAATAAAATGATCAATGAACTCGTATTACTCATCATTATTTTATCGATTGATAAAATGAAAGAAACGTTACAATTATTAGTTTTCTACGAACTGTAATCGTATTAGGTAGCTGTCTTTTTCCTCGTGATTTTACCCGTTCTGTTTATCACATTTCATCGTTTCTGTGGAGTTGTTTATTAGAGAAAAAATGCACGCCATGTTTATCTCCATAGCATCATGCAAAAAAAGAAAATTCCAAGTAACAAAAAAAAACGATGATATAAAAAAAGGGCAGGCTCCTTTTTTACTCATAGTATTCAAGGTAACATAAGAATTTTCTATTTCATTTAACGATAGTCTATTACTGTTTAAATCCATCATTATTGTCAATGTAAATGAAAAATATCGTCAGTGTTCAAAGACAGTGATTGCACAGTGATTACATTATTCTTTATCAGTGTAGTAATAGGCAAACTGTTCCAATTCAGCGATATTAGGTATGAATATCCCTAGAAAAACATTCAAATAATTCACCATGTTATTTAGGATCCATCAATAGAATTTGAATGTTCATAGAAATAGCTACATTTTATTTTGCTTTTAATTTCAGACTATCAAATTTCTTCAAAGCTATCGTACGAAAAACGAAATTACTTTAATACTTCTAATACTATTCTGAGTAAAAGGTAAGCTAATTTCAAAACAAAAACAATTCTATATTATGTCTCTTACTTATTCATCTTCTTTTATAGTGAAAACTTCATCATGAGGATTTATATTCAAACCTTCACAGGATTGGCACGAAATTATAACTTCGACGTAGAGCCCTCCATGACAATTAGACGACTAAAAGAGCTCTTTTGCGAAAAGACAGAATCTGAGGAAGATTTACCAATCTTGTGTCTTACACTCAACAGAGAAGAACTCGAGGAAGATAAGAAAACATTGTTGGATTATAAGATAACAGACAATACTCAACTAAACTCAATCTTTCTTGGTGAGACTTATCGAGCCGATCTAGGTTTTATGGGCTCGAGATTTGTTGATGTTAGCAATAGTAAAGGTTTAAAACGAAGAGAATGGTCTACAAAGGCTCCGCAATGGCGAAGAACTATCCGTGGTTTATGTCTCGAAGGCAAATGCTCAAACACTGAATGCAAGGCGTACGGTCACAGTGTTATTATGCGCATTGGCTATACAAAATTCGACATGTTAGCCGATCCCGATGAAACCACAACAGTATGTCCAATATGTGAACAGTTTGTTGAACCAAAAACATGTGCCTTTAATAATTGTTGGTGGAGATACGATGGAACTCAACAAGCAGAAACTGGTAGCGGTAAACCACCAAAGAAATATTCAAGTGAATGGCATGAAGTCGATGATGCATATCATTATTTTGACGAAGAAGCAAGTGGGACGATTTTGTGGAAGCGTCTTGTAATTGAAGCTGTTAAGGACAAGCCTGTGTAATAATTTTAAATGTTGTTATTCCGTTCATTTCTCAAATGTTGTATTTGTGTTTATTTTGATTCAAACAAAATAAATGTCGTGTTTTTTTCTCCTAACCTGAATGCACTAACTTTTTTCTCATAGGTTAGTTTGACTATGTATGCAACAGTCAATCTTTACTCTTATTGTTTCATATTTTTTCTGTTAATTCTTCTTAATCAGAAATTCACAATAAGGAATAGCCAGAAAAAAATCATTGATTGAAAGCTAATATATTTATACTACATAAAACTATATTTTTATTCTCTCAAGTGGACTAGTCAATTAATAGAATAGCTCGCTAATGATCATCTGTGAGAACATCTAGCAATCTCTTTAGATGAATGTGAGTCTGCGTACGTATGCGTAAAGAGTAGAGTAACATTCACACCTACTCACTACCATACCCATTTTTTTCCAATTAAAAGACACTGATTTTTCATAGTAAATCATCTACTGTTCGGTCATCACAAAAGACCTCATGCTGAATTTCTCATACTGTACAAAATGGTAAGAATTATTGAAAAAACCCAGTTTCCCTTTGCAGCGAAAAACTCCATACAGTGCAGCTAAAAAAAATACGACTTCATATTGGATATAATGACGACCAGAGTTCTCTTGAAAAAAAGAGAGCAAATTTTCGATCTCCCATATCTCTAAAGCAGTCAAGGGAATTTCGAAAACAATTTCTTTATGAAATCATATAATAATCATCCTGATTAGAAAGGCTTGGGATACTGTTTACAGCCATATATTCCGAGTTATTATCAATTGTGGGTGTGGAGGTGAGTGAAGAGTATATCGCTTTCCATATAAACGTTCTAGTTTAATAATTTTTTTTATTTCATCTGTAGCATAACATCAACTAATAGAAGAAAATAAAATAAATGAAATCAATATTGGTTTGTAACGTACTCAAAATAAGACCTGACTCTTATAATTAATGATCGGCCCATTTGTGCTTTGTTTCCATGTCGCCTCTTTTTTACCAACTGCAGCGTATTGATTGTAATGAAAACTCTTACAAACTACGGTTACTGCGACGCAGATAAACGCAACTGTGCCATATCACTCGTGTCGTACAATACACTATAACTGACACCAACCAATTACAAGTGACACCTTTTTATTTGTAATTAGTCATACTCTAGCGCTAAAACTTAACCACACAGGGACTATATTGAAGAAAGTTTTCTCGAGACTCCGGTTCATAGTTTATTCTACCACAAAAGATAGAATAAGTATCTCGAATATAATTTTTTAATTTTTTGTAACACACAATAAAAATATTAAGAAAATGAAAACCTCACATATGTCCTCTCTTTTAACAACTGCGATCTTTTTATCGTAGTTACGACGTAACTGCGTTGCAGTTTGATCGTAATCGAACACATGAGAATTCTCATTTGTTTTCATTATTAGCCATTATAATAATCTACTTTTTTTCTTAAAAATAATAAAAAATTGAAACATTGTTAATTTTGCGTCTATTTCGTAATTCACAAATGAGTGGAAATACAATTGATCAGCCACCGAACTGATAGTCATATAATTAGTCAATAGTAAGATTTAATAAATCAAAAGTAAAACGATTCATTAATATGAAGTTCGATTATATGTTATTTAACAAAAGCTGCTTTTATGAATTTACTATGAGTCCGCTATTCAGTCTCGATAACATTTTTTAAGTTCTATGTTAAACGGAAGAATCGAAATTTCAAACAACAATTAATAAATTCGTTCATACTCAATATACATATTTTAAAAGATTTTAAAATTATGAAAAAACGCTTTTATGAATCAATGAAACGTTTTCCTGAAATGATTCCAATAGAATTTAATTATATATTTCGAAATCTGGATCAACTTATTCATTTATATAGTAGAAATAAATACATATTATTTATATGGTTGTAATAAAACATATTTTAAACTCAATTTAAATATACACTTCATCAATATAACGATGAACTACAGATCATGTTGTTCGACATATTAGTGTTTAATTGTTAAATTTCTATAAGATTTATTTAATTAAAAGTTTGATAAAAATAACTTAGTTATCCAATTTGCTTTTGAATTTTAGTTTTCATGTTAGATGTAACATTGCCTCAAGTGATTTAAATTAAAATCAATTTCAACTGACGAGGGAACCACCCGAGGTGTCAAAAAGCTTTTCAGTCGGGGATATGATGGTTAGATAGGGCATAGCTAGGAGTGATATACCCTAAGTTAGTTCGTGCCCAAGTTGCTTCTAGCAGGAGTTATGAAATGTGAAATTTAGGTATAAAAATGAATCAGGGAAGGTTTTCTCCACTATTGTAAGGACAAAACATAGTGTTATTCGGGCCGATTATGGGGTTTGTAGGGATCCTCTTTCATATGGCTCGAACAACACCATGTTTTGTCGTTATAATAGTAGAGAGACTTTTTTCTGTAGCACATAGAAAACGGCGTTTTTCTATCAACCAGCAAAAAAATTCGCTCTACTATTATAAGGACAAAACATGGTGTTGTTCGGGCCATATGAAAGAGGATCCCTACAAACCCCATAATCGGCCCGAATAACACTATGTTTTGTCCTTACAATAGTGGAGAAAACCTTCCCTGATTCATTTTTATACCTAAATTTCACATTTCATAACTCCTGCTAGAAGCAACTTGGGCACGAACTAACTTAGGGTATATCACTCCTAGCTATGCCCTATCTAACCATCATATCCCCGACTGAAAAGCTTTTTGACACCTCGGGTGGTTCCCTCGTGAGACAGATAACCCTGCCACGATAAGTATGTCATCATTTTATTTTCCTTTCAAATTTTTCGATGAATTCAACTAGGATGTGCAAAACAAAATACTTTATCTTTCGAATAGAAATGCTAAGTATCACAGAGAAAAAGGTTTGAAAGTGAAACAAAATATCTTATTTATGTTTCTAAGCACAGAAAAAATATCTAGATGCACCAATAGAAATATTCATTTTGTTGAGCATATTCAAATGAATAAAACACAATGTCAACCATATTTTCTCGTTGAACCATTCAAAGGCTATTAGAAGCAGAAGAAGAGAATAGTAATGTATTCTTATCCTTCTAATCGTATAGTTAGCTCAATAAGCTAATTTCAACTTGATTGTCTAGGTTTGCGTGTTATGTATTAAGCAATATTTTTCATCCTATCATAGAAAGCTTTTGACAATAATATATTTCAATATTTTTTACAAAAAAGACATATCAATAATTTTAGTATTCTTTTTTTCAGATTCGTCGAGAAAATCTTCATGATCATGTTGAATCATTGTCAGGTGAACACTTATAATTATTTGCTGTTATTCATTCGTATTTTAACTCAATAATTACTAAACATGAAAACAATTTAAAAGAAGTCATGCTTAAGACTCAATCATTTGATGCTGCTATACACAATTCACATAATGACTTAGACTTATTAAAATCATTTATTTGTAATGATGATGCATATTAATTCTGTATTGACAGTATGCAACAATTATTTTCTATTGCAAAAAAAAATGCCGTTCAATTACACTATGATCATTATATGTGATGATAACGAGATTTGATTTTGGAATGCTACTTGATCGATCATTGATCTATCTAATAATATTAAGTTTATTTTAAGTAAATCTAAAACGTGAAAATATGATTGATACATTAATACACAATTAAGGAATGAATGTTCTCAATGGCAATTGTTAGCTTCAAATCAATTGACAGGAATAATCAACATTTTTGTCTATTATTGAAACTAGCTAATAATGATTGTGACCATATTCATGAAGACCGATTATTTATAAAATTATTGGCGGAGTCCAAAATTCGATCACTAAAAACTTTTGTTCAACATTCAAAATTAAACTAATTTTTCAATTCACATAATACAAGCGTGAACAAAATGAATACAAGTAATATAAAAAAAATCATTATTGTAATGAAGCGTTGTAGCTTTACATGCCTTTATTCATACAAAAGCCAAACAAAAATACAATGTTCCCTTATTGTTACAAATGTGCGCCTGTGTGAATCGAATGTTAAAATATTGTTCTAGTAGGATGGGAATTATAATTGCTTAATTCATCCAAGGATGATTCTTTCGAGAGTGCACCAAAGTTAAAGCCAATTTAAAACGAACCGAAAAAACTTTCAGAGTTTGTAGGATTTATGTATCTGTTGATTGCAATAAAATTTGAAAAGCTGGAGAAGATGTTCGAATGAGACAGGCCGGACAAGATCTCCTAATCATATTGAACTTAATCTAGCTTCTCTGTTTCAAATGAGAGACGACTTGATGAGATGGCCATTCTCTATAGCGGTCATTTTTTTCCACCATGTTTCATTTTTGTGGAAAATTGCTCCCGGGAATACTCATTTTTGACGTTATCTGGGATTGAATATCTGTATGAAGGGTGTGGGTAAGGAAGCATCCTCTATTCTACTTTAACACATTAAAAGCTTGAAATATTCAATTGGAATATTAAAAATGACACTATTTTACGGAGTGGTGTATATACGAAAATAAATCTAATGAAGTATAGCGCACTTACTAAATTAATTTGATTAGAAAACTATATATTTTTGTATCTTCTATATGTGTTAAATAACAAAAGCATTGAATTATTAAAAAATAATGAAAAGGAACAAAATATTATTCTATTATCTATACGAAAATAAGAAGTATCGATTTCGATCTATCCAAGATTCAACGGAAAACAAACTTTCATTTCGCGCTAGAAATAATTTATCTTTTATGTTTATAGAGGTAAGATACCTTATTCAAATAGTGAACAAACTAAATACTGATTTCCAGGAAATCAATTTCACAAGATTTTGTGAACAAAACAAAATTAATATTAATTAATATGTAAAATACGAAAATGTTTCATTTTCGTGAATAATTTTATTGTATTTTGAAAATAGATTTATCAATTTTTTTTATAGATATTCAATCAGACATCTACAAAGTAGCACAATCGGTTGGATCGATAATAAAAGACTTTTTCTTTTGTGACTTAATGTTGCATTCATGCTGATGAATTGGTAATTGGTGACCGAAAATTCTAAAGACTGATCGCTGTATATGATCAATTAAACAACTTAAATTCATTTCAACAGTCACTTCTTTTCATAATGCATTTATTTCGCCCTTTTGCAAATTGAAGAAAAGTACACTGCTGGGTCACTTTGAACAAATATTTTCTTTCATTGTGTAAAAAGACAATCTACCTTATAAGTTAGGTTTCATCAAGTTTTTTTTTTTGGAAATTTTCTTCGTATGTTAGAGCTATAAAATTCTTTGTGATTACAACCTTGTGTAGGTTAATTATCTCGCCAACAAACCGAAATCCCACTGTTCATCTCAATGTTTGTTGGCGTCATAAAATAAATATCAACCAGATGTTGAGAAAGCACAGCTTTTTGTTTCGTTTTTCATTCTTTCTATAGGATATAGCACAGTCTACATTAACATCAAATCTGTTGACTCTACTTGATATGACCACTACCAATCAGACTGAACAGCAATTTACTTGAAATGAAAAATATGAAGAATTAAGATATCAGTGATAGTGTCGTGCCATAAGCTGAACCTTATAGCAAGTTGTCAGAAATAAATTTCAACAACTTGGTTGAATAACACGGCAATGGTCAAGATGGAAACCAACAAAATTTTTATACCATTGTTGTAAATAAAAATAACAATGCCAACAACCATCAGTAAGGTGATCAACATAGTTATTCTTTCATTTTTGAAATTGTATTTAATGAATCGAACCAGATTGTTTTTAGTTGAAATTCTGGTCACTAATGTTTATTAATTTCTTAGTTATTTTGTTTCATATACAACATCGTCGTATTTTCGGAAAAAAAATATTACGACAAGAACAAATACAAAAAACAGACGATTATTTAAAGAAATAAGTGAGGAAAAAAAAAACCATTCGTCAATGATTAACCAGGAAGAATATTCGCTCACAAAAACGAGACAAAACAAATATCTTATTGTCGATAAAAAGTAAAGATTTATTTGTATTCATTAAATTATCGTTCCTGATTTCTTTTGTATTTTGAAAACAAAGGTAACAATGATAATAAGCATGGCATTACCGTTCCTGCAAATCATGAAATGCTCATCAAAGACACCGAAAACTTTACAAACTTACTATGAATTTATAGAATCTTCTTAGTATTGCTTTTGCATACAACTGTAAAATATATTTTTTCTACTGCAACATTTTTGACTCTGTTACTAATTCTATCAACAAAGCATCTCTAATTTTTCTCGTACTTCTTAAATAGAATCATTCGTTTTTACGATGTAAAAAAAGAATTGAGTCAAAAGTCGTGACCAACTTGGTGATGCTGTTTGTTTTTTATGTTGGCTGATTTCTATGATTGGTTTAAATGAAAGACAGAGAGAGAGATTGAGGATGAGTTTAAGGTATCTTTCAATAAAATACAAATATGTAAAACTTCATGGAAGAATTGATAAAAAATAGACACGGCTAAAACAATCAATCGATATATACTTTGTTTCATCTTCTTTGTTACGTTGTTATGGTTAACAATATGTAACTAATTTAGGCACATTTGACGTCACAGTTGGCACGTATAAAATAATTTCTACTCAAACTTAATCTCAATCGATCGGTATGACTTGCTTTCTCACAAGAGAGTTGTATTACATTTTTCAATAGTAAACATTTTATTCTCTCTATGTGACTTATTCTTGTCATTCGTAAAGTGATAGTAAAAACTGTTTTTTTCTGTAATAATCACAATAGAAGTGGCACTCTTATAAAAAATTATATCATTTTGATAAGCATTTTTAGTAGTCTAAATATCCATATTGAAATTAGATTTATCTCGATGTTTGAAAAGAGCTAAAGGTGAACGTTGACACCTAGAACTTAGAAGTTTGACAAAAACTAGTGTAATTTATCAACTAAATAAATAAAATAAAATAAATGTTTAAAAAGTTGTTGTAGATGTGACACTAATCAATTCTGACATAGTTTTCTCTAGATTGGAACCAGAACTGAAGAAAAGCTGGATTCCACACATAAAATTAGTTTATAGTCATATAAAAAATGTAAGTTATCAAAGTAGAATTGAAATAGACTATAATTGAATCTAACTCATTTCTAATAACATAAAAAAATCTATTTCTTTATCAAAAAATAAATTTATTCATAAATTTTATCATCTTCTTATATGCTAAGTTTCTATTAATCAATAATAATTATTGATTAAATCGAATTTCCTTCGATCTTTTTTCATCCAAAAAACGAAATACATAAGTAACTCTTGATCAGTTCTTTTCTCCAATATTTGTTTCAACAATAATTCAACGTCTCTTGACTATACAAAGGCTCATCTTGAAAAACAAGACTACACGCTCAAAAGATAGCAAAATCTTACAATAAAAAAAAATGGAAATATTCGGTATCTTTCCTTTTGAATTCTTTAATTGCGATTGATTATTTAATTGACAGAGAAGAAAAATGAACAAAAAGCAAAACAGAACAAAAAAAAAAACTACATATATCAGACCAAGACAAAATTGAATATGTATGCAAGAAAAATATATTGAAAAAAAAACAAGTGGTAGACACGTGAATATACACATCTGACAAAAGATGTTTATATCTTCTATAGGCACAAAAACAAAATGGTAGGAGAAAACGATGAATGAATAAATTCAAAATTAAACAGAAGTTCATATAAACCAAAGATCAAGATAAATAAGAAACACTGTTCAACGTACATATATTCTTATTTACTAAAGTTGTGATTCAACTAAACCTGCATATGGAGATTCCGATTTATTAAATTTAGAATTGAAATCCAAATTCGATTTATTAGTTATATTTGATGTTGAAGTAAATTTTTCATCAGATATATGATTCTCATTTATAGGATTAGACAAAGGTAAAACATTTGTTTCATTTGTTCGATCATGATTTGTATGCTGTACTTTTGCTTGTCGTCGAGGATCAACAGCTTGATTTGGTTTAATTATATCTTCACGATATTGATAATCTTCTTCATATCCTGTAGGAAATATCATTTCATCTTCAAATTCATCAACTATAGTTGATTCAAGGGGAGATGGTCGATAAACCTAAACAAAACAAAAAAAAATTCTTTTTTTTTATAACATAAAACGACAAAGATTTTCTTATTATACTTGTTCATAAAGTTGTTTATCCGATCGAGAACTATCATAAAATGGGTCATTTCGTCGCAATAATGTTGATGACATTGAACCACCACCAATACTTCTTAACGGTGTTGAATCAACTATTCGTACTTCACTATACATTGGTGGGCCAAGTTGTGATCTTGAATCAACCATATCATATGGATCAAAAGTTCCATTTGTAACATATCGATGTTGTTCATCATTTTTTTCTTTATACATATTTCCATTTTCTACTAAGAAACCATTTTGATTATTCATACTATCAAATAATAATGCTTTATTTCGTTTAGTTTGTTGTCGATTTGATTGATAACAACGTAGAATGCAACATAAACATAATAGAATAAGAAGAAATAAAAATAGAAATAGAAATATTCCAATAATCCATAGAAGAAATGAGCTATTAATTAATGATGTTTGTCGGACTCGTAATTCATATGATAAATATTCATTATCTGAACGTCCTTGATTACGTATAGCAGCAACACAATTATATGTTCCATTATGTTCAGTACCTATATTTGATATTGTTAATGTTGTTGTTTTATTAAGACATGTTGCAGGTGATAAATCCATAGAAGATGTTGATAGACACAAATAACGAATTGTATAGGAACCAGTATGAATATCAGGTTCATTTACAGCTGATATCATCTTACCAATGATTTTATTTTGAAATGTCCACCAAATTTCAGGTGCAGGATCAGAATAGACCTAAAATAACATATTATTCTATTATATAATTATTCTATCGAATTGTTTATAAATTCAACAAGAAAATGAACTCCAATAATTAAATCGATGATAATATAAATGTAACAATATTAGCTTTAGAAGCTGTACATAAGTTTATAACTGAACATTCCTCTGATATACGAACTGGTCACCAAAGTTAGTTTTCAGCAGACCCAGTCAGACAAAAATTTTGAAAAACGCGGTTAAACGCACAATCGGGAACCGTGATTGTAAGCTATTAACGCTCATTAAAAAAACGCACGAAAACGCGTTTATTGGCGTTTTTTGTAACTTCATGGGCGTTAAAACGGCGACAATTCCCGTTTTTGAGCGTTAAAACGCACTACTATTCTAGAACTTAAAAATAATACGTTTTAACGNATGATTTTTAACGTGTTTTTGAAAGAAAATTTCGTTGTTTTTAAAAATTTGGTACACGAAAGTTCTTCAAAGTCTTACTATTTACTATCACTAAACCCCATTTTTCACGGGCTTTCATTTGGTATAAAATTCATGATATCTCCGATTCGAGATCATACTGTTACCCCCCTGGAATAATATTATTTACCACCCTGTACATACGACATCGATTCACACGCACTCGTGTAAGCCATAAATCTGATTTTTTCGGTCATTTTTTTTACATGGGCAATGTATAGACCAATCAAATTTTTTTGTTAGACAGGGCAATGTCTGAACTACAAATTTTGTACGAGACATTTTTCCAGAACGTAACTAACGAGGAGAAAAAACCTAACGCCAAACATTTCCAAAAAAGTTCTTGTAACTTCACTATTGAGCAACGCTATTTTTATTTTCTGTTATTTTTTTTTTGAAATCAGGAGGAAGTGAGAAAAAAAAACGTTTGATGCTGATTTTTGTAGCGGGATGAGTGCTCTTTTCAATCATATATTGGAAATTGAATTTACTCTTGGTTTTTATAAAAAGAAATACAGTTTTCTTTTAAAAAGATTCAATAAGTTGTCGTTCTTACTATCTAGCTGTTTTGTAACGGTGAAGTTTTTTTTTAAATTATTATCTCTACTAAATTTCTTTGACCTAAAATGTTTTGAATAAATAACGCAAAAAAAAAGTTCAGTTCATGTATAATCTCCCGACATAGTGCATGATGTTCTTGCTAACTGATGTGTATTGGAAAAGAGTGTATTTTTATAAAAATTTCATTTTTCAAACTTTTTTAATTAAAGAGTCAGTGACAGATCTAAAAAGTTTTCCTGAAGCTGATATCGATACACTTTGTGATACGCTACATTTTGTTGTATTTTTGTTTCAATTGAATTCATTCATATAGTTCAAAATAATTAAGAAATGCAGACTTCTCAAGTTAAAATATCATTGAAAGAACTTTTTTTTGAGATGTTTGGTTTTGGGCTTTTCATTCTCGTCTGATTTCGTCGGGAAAAAATGTGTCTGGTACAAAATTTATAGTTCAAGCATTGTTGTTTCTAACGAAAAAGAATGTGATTGATTTAAAAGTCAGCAACATGGTATAACAGAGTTGGACATTATTCTAAACATTTCTACATGATATTTTAAAGTCTTCTGTGTATCAGAAGATCGCTCCTCTCTAAGAATCGATTTTTTTAAAATAATTTCTGCAACCTAGCGAGTTTTTTAGCATCTATGTCCATGGTAATATCTACGTCCAGTATGATCAATATTTTGCTTCTATCGCGATAGCATCGTGTCAATATCGAGTTAGAAAAAAATCTTGAAAAACAGCTAAAAAGAAAGCACGATCTATTGAAAAACGCATTTCTTTATTGAAAAAATATTGTTGAGTCACTCCGGTGCTATTTTGCAACATAATCTGAAAAAATAGTTCTTTAGGTTCTCTATACGAAAAAAATCGTTATTATGTTCATAGGATCTCATTGGCGTAGTACACCTTTTCATGTGTCACACATGAAAAAACCTCTCTAAAATAGGAATATATTCGGTAAAATTTTGTCGCATATTAATTAAAAGGCTTCTTCGTCTTTACAGTCTCTACTCGAAATTTAGAAACGTTATTACCACAAATCAGTAGATTCATAATTGAAGAAAACATATCTTTGGGTATATATATCGAGTCTTGTTCTGTGAAGTATTCATTATGAGCCTGATAATGTACTTCCATTCACAGAAAGATCTAGCGATACATTTCATTGTGAATAAATTTCATCTAAACTATTCGAACCTCAACATTAGTCAGTGCCTTAAATAAGTTTGACAAAAAAAAAATTATTTTCTTTTTTTCAGCTATTTCCTCCTTTTTTTTTCACAGCCTATTATCTTTTTCTTTCTTTCTCATTTTGTACGTGTAGGATAAGTGAAATAAGCTCTTGTATTCACGTTGAATTGAGCAAAAATACATTGAAACTTAGAGTGTTGGAGACACTAGCACAAAGATATGACTCCTTATGGACTTAATAGAAGACGCCGAATCTTCTAATGTACCAAGGGCTTTATATCAACAACGTCTGTCACGGTCTATCGGGGGGGGGGGGGGGGGGGGGAGTTTTTTTCCTTTTTTTTTCTTTTTTTTTTTTTTTTTTTTTTTTAAAAAAA